AGTATTGAACTGGGCTGCTGCAGGGAGGTCTTGGAGGCAGGAGCTCTTCCCAAGGTATCTGTCATGCCTGACCTCAGCTGTCACCAGCAGACAATTATCTCAGTGCTGAGAGATCACAGTGGGGATGCAAGGACCCAGCTCTCTTCCTGCCTCCCCTTCAGCTCCCTTTTCCCCATCTGGCCACAGAGGTACAGGCAGCAGGAACTCTCCATTGGATAGAGGCCACAGGAAAGGCAGCCCCCCAGAATGCTGGCTGTGCTCCCCAGCCTCCATCCCGGGTTGTGGATGGAGCTCTCTGCCTTGCTCCTGCCTCACTGGAGGTTGATTCATGGCGTGGGGAGAGGGATGGGGTGCCTACACAGCCTCTCCATCCCCTCAACACCTTTCAGCTGTATTTCACAGAATTGTTTATGAGTCTCGCCTCCCTGGAGGGAGTGTGGGTCAGCTCCAAGCGAGGCTGTTACCGGCAAGGCTGCGCTTGGAGGAGGATGCAAAATGCCCAGACGCTGGAAGGAACAGGAACACGTGTCAAGGGAGAGTTTCCATTTATTAGTGACAGTAACCTCAGCAAAAAATAGCCTGGTCTTTGTCACATCTTCATCCCTTCAGTGTCTCTGCGGGGCACAGGCAGAGTAGCTCTAATTGCTCCCAGGTGCGGGAAGCAGAGATCAGAGCCCAGCATCTCTCTCCTCACCCTCTCATGCTTCCTTCTTGCCTTTTTCTCTTTCTCTCCACCATTTTCTCCACCATGCCTCTTTCATCTTTCAGCACCAAAATGACCAGCATACATGGCTGTCTCTGCTGCTCCATCCCTGCCTATCACCTTCACACACCTTCAGAGGTCTTGGTCTCGGTGCTGGGTCCCAGGGAGGCTGTCCCCTGCCTTTCTGGCTGCTTTTGGGGACTGCTATGGCACAAGCTCTTGTCCATCTCCTGCGTGCAGGCAGGAGAAGCACACCAAGAGGGACAGCACCTGCTGCCCCACGGTCAGGCCCTGGCTTTGGGGTGGGAGAGCCGCTCGGGGGGCACGGGGACAGAAGGGTTAACTGTCCCTGGTGCGGTGCCATCGCTGGGTGCCCATCAGCTGCCCCGTGTTGCACCAACAGCGGGCACTGAATCCCTTCCTTGTTGGCAGCTCTCCAGCCTGGCGGAGGAAGCTGCTGAGAAAATGCAATTACAGCAAACAACAGCCACACGCGCAAGCGCTGCAATCCACACCTGGCACTAATTAACTTAATTAGCCCTTAATGAGCTACACTGGTCGGAAGGCCTATTTTTACTTAATTATCCCCTAATGTGCTTAGCAGAAAGTGGGGGCCCTGATGGATGGAGAGGTTTACCTGGCTTCCTCTACTCCAGCAGGATACTCCATCATCCCTGCATTCCTGTAACGAGCTGAGCTGCCTGTGAGTGGAGCAGGGATGAGCCTGGGGTGGCTGGCAGCCTGGCACACAGTGGCCCCTGCCTGGCTGATGGCAGGCTTTGGCTATGCTGTGTGGCTTGTCCCACTGTGTCCCAGCTCCCGCAGGTCTGGGTGGCATTTAGGAGAGCCTGTGGTGGTGCACTGGTTGAGTGAAGTCATGGTGCTGGTGAAAAAGAGTTTCCTGGGATGTGGTGGCCTGGAGCTGCCAGGCTGTGTCATGCAGTTCCTGGGGGATGGCTGGATTTGGTCCCCAGGTGGCTGGAGGAGAGGTGGTAGCCCCAGGTCCAAAGCATTGTTCCACCCCAGGGAGCCCCATGCAATGAAACACCCTGTGCACAACATACACAGGGTGATGGGGTAATCCCATTGATCCCTGGGGAAATAGGATGGGAGCAGACTGGGGCTGGGAACAGCTCAGTGCCACCAGAACAGCTCTCTGCATCCTGTGCTCTCCAGCTGCAAACTAGGTGAGAGGAGCTGGTCCCAGGTGCAGGGAAAATGCTGCGGTCCCTGGATCCGGCCCTGCTGTTTCCACAGCAACCAGCATCATCCAGCCCGGCCCTGGTAGCTGCAGCATCTCTGGGGGCTTCCTAAGAAAGCCTGTCCCAAGCATCACAGTTAACGGTGTGGGAGTCAACACCTCCAGACTGTGTCCTGGGGAGGCTGACAGGACCTGCTGTGGCAAGCCAAGGAGGCAATGACAGGGTCGGGAGGAGATGGTGCCTGCCACTGGCCCTTATTCATACCATGCCTCAATGTAAAGAATTTTTAAATTAAAAGAGCAGGAGCCAGGAGGGCAGTGCTGCTCTCCCAGGCTTGTCAAGCCGCTCCCCAGATGGATATCCCTGTGAATTATAGATTGAATCTGCCGTGCTTTCCAGCAGCATGGAGCACGGAGCTGATGATGTGCTTGTGAAGGAAGTGGCTGTCTCCCACGGCATGGCATGGCTGGACACTGTGGGGCTGGTGCTCTTCTCTCACCTGCCCTTCAATAGCACCACCAACACCACACAGCCGAGTCTGGCCTTGCCAGCAAGTGGCACTGGGCTGTGCTGAGGCAGTCGGGCGGTCCTTCCTCCTTCCCCTCCTCCTCATCACCTTAGCAGATCCAATGAACGGTGCCATGTTCTGATATACCCTTCCCTTGGGTTTGGTCCCTCCACCTTCCTTTGTTCTTCATCCCATCCCTTTGGTGAGATGATTTCCTAAGGCTATTTTAGTAAAGTTTCTCTTTTGAATTTCTTCCTTGTTAAGGTCTGCAGCCCAGACCTCAGCAGAACCCTGGCCTGTTGCTTTCCCAGGGCAGGCTGTGGTGGAGAGACATGGTGAGTCCCTGGCTGCTGGGGCCACTGTCCCTGTATGTCTCCCTCAAGACTCTCCGGGCTGATGGATCCTTTTGTCTCTGACTCCATTGTTTAACAGATTTGGAAACAGTGAATTGGCCTTTATTGCCTTTCCTGGGTCTTAAAGGACTTTGCTTGGTGCAGGAAAGGTGTGCAGGCTTTTAGGAGATTTTTTTTCTGCTCTGGAATTTGGTTAATTCACTCCATTTTTCCTGGTGACCCTAATCAGAAGTGTGAGACCCTTTATTCATACACTGAAGTGTGTTGAGTGTTTAAAGGAGGGTTTAGAAGCAGATGTTGAGGGGGATCTGAGGATCCTGGCAGCAAAGGGCCTGGCCTCTGAGGGCATCCTGTCTGTGCTTAAGGGGATTTCTGTCCCAAAGGGACATCCTGCTCTGGGTGGGACTCTTGTCCCAGAGAGGCATTCTTATCCTGGAACAGGAGATCCTGTTCCCAATGGATGTCCTGTCATGGATGGGGTCCTATTCCCAAAGAACGCCCTGTCCTAAACTGAGGTCCCATGCTTAAGGAACATCCTGTCCCCAAGGGTTGTCCTGCCCTGGATACATGTCCTCTCTCTCTCCATGAACATCTTGTCTCCACAGGGTGCTCTTTCTCCGTGAGGTGTCCTGTTCCTACAGATGTCCTGTGTGAGGAAGAGCTCCTGGCTGCCCAGCCCAACTCCATGGGATGTTTTCCACCTTGCTCACACCATGGCACAGCTGGCTGTCCATGAACACCTCTGGCTACCCAGCTTTCTGTAGGGGACCACTGCTCACCCAGCCTTGCCCTCACTACACCCCCTCCCCACAGGCAGGGCTCCAGGAGCAGCTCACAGCTGCATTACAGCAATGCTTTGCTGCAGTAAAAAGGGGCCTTGGGTCACTCAGGGGAGCCCTGCTGGGGGGACTGGCAGTCATTCCCAAAACTGGAGCTGTTAATTTGTTGTTGTGCAGAGAAAATAGGGCACTGAAGTGCATTTGAAGGTGAGCTGATACAGGTTTATTGTTGGTTGGGCCTTTTTTGGGGGAGCATTTAAGTACTGCTAAAAGGATACTGAGAGAGGGTTTCCAGCAGTGAGATCCCTCATTTGTCCCTAAAGGAGAGTGAGGGGCTCCAGCCATGCAGCCCTCCTGGAAGGCACCTGCCACTGCAGCAGCATTGCTGTTTTAACCAAGCCTGAAGCCCCCAGCCATGTCCCATCCCTCCCACTCGCAGCTGGGTCCAGCATCCCTGCCTTTGACCCCTGTATCTGCCACCAAGCAGCATTTTAGCATCCAAATTCAACAGAAGGAAGCTCTTCCCTAAAGACACCTTACTCCTGGTGACCCAAGGGTGCTCCCTGGGGACAGCATCCACCTCACCTGAGCACCACTGCCTGCCTCCCTGGAGAGGGAAAACCCCATGGCAGGGCTCAGGCATCGCCCTGCTTGGGCTTTAGGTTTGTCATTATATTAATCTCCCATTTGAAATGGATACAAGGAGGGGGGAGAGATAAATTAGTCCCATTCTTCTGGGAAGAATGAAGTGACCCTGCGAGGCGAGGGACGACCGTGCCAGCCCCACCGGCCCAGGCAGAAATGCTAATTTCTCCTTTCCTCCACCAAAGCCGGAGTAAAAAATGCTAATGGGGCTGACGGCGGGCTGCAGATAAAAGTCTGTGTCTGCTCGTTCGCACACAGATGGGTTTGAGCGCCGCGATAAGCTGGCAAACAAGGTAATTAAAATAATTAAAATGCTAAACAAAGGGGAGGATGGAGACAAGCGGTACAAAGGGCTGGGAGAGACGAGCAGCTCCTGGGAAATGGTAGCTGGGTGCGGGCAAGGAGGAGGGCAGAGGGATGGAGGTGGGTGGGCTGGGAAGGAGAAGGGCTGTGGGGTGCACCAGGTACCCATCCCATCAGGGAGCCCCATCCCTGGATTACAGCTGGCCCTGGCCTCGGGGACATCTGCCTCTTCATCCCCTGCCTGCCCCAGTGTCCCCTGCACGGGTGATAGGGGGGAACCCAGGAGCCCAGGCAAATTCCCACTGCCTTGGCAAGTTTTTCCAGTTTAAAACAAACTGCCCCCAAAACAGGCATGTTCTGCTGCTGGAAATTGCTATGTCAAAGTCTCCCTTTTATTAACAGCATCCATTAAAATACAAAAAAAAAAAAAAAAAAAAAAAAAAAAAAAGAAAGAAGCGAGCTTGAAATTAAAATTAATTTTTGTTTCAGGCCAAGAGAAACATTGGATTTGAGTCAAGCAAACTTTTATTTAAAGCAAAGTCTTCAGGTGGCAGAGAGTTTTCACTTGCAAGGAGGGCTGGGGTCTGGAGCCAATCTAGAGACCTGTGTGCCATGCTGAGGCCAAATCCCAGCATCGCCAGCTGCAAATCCACACTGGTGCAGCACTTGGCAGGGATGTCCCTGATGGGCTGCCACCACCTCACAAGGTGCAGCATGGAATTGGGATGCCCTGCCAGGCTGTGCTGCCCCATGGCACGTTCAGAATGCCCCAGAGGACTGCACTTCTCCTTGCCCATGGCTGTGCATCCATCCCTGCTGCTTTCCTGGTGGCCACGGCCCCTGGAGCTGGAGCAAGGAGCCTGCCAGACAGTTTTAGCAGAAGCCACGGAGGGTGGGGAACAAGCAGATGCCCTGTGAGATGCAGTGGGGGGGTCAGGGCTGAGATCCCCCCTCTGAGCTTCCTGCTGTGAAGGAGCTGGAGCCAAAAGCAGGCCGGGGCTGGCAGCCTGCCCGCGGTGAGCTGAATCTCCGGCTGCAGTTTGAAGCTAGCAGACAGCTATTTAACACAAACAGCCAAGCTGTTATCTTTTCCCTTAGGGCCACCATCCCTTTCGCTTCTCAAATGCCAAATTACAGCCTACATTTAATTTCAATGCCACGGGGAGATGCATGTCAAGGGAGGGCAGCTTCGTTTAAAATTAGCCACATTAGATTAGTGGTGATACAGCCAGGGAGGAGGGTTTGGAGAGAGAAGTGTCCCCATGAACTTTGGGGGAATTCCTCTAGGAACGTTGAGGATTTGGGGTCCAGCAGAGCCAAGTCTGCCCCATCTGCTGCATCGCTGGCTCCACATGGATGCTGGTTCTGGCTGGGGATATCCCAGGTTTCGTGGGGTCGGGGAAGGGATTTATGGTGTGGCAGGCACAATGCAGAGCTGGCACAGACAGATACAGGGCACCAAGTGTATTTCCAGCCATCAGCCATGAATTATTTGACCAAGGGAAATTTATAAGGATCTTCAGTGAAAATAGTATCTTTTTTTTCTGCACAGCACACTTAGGGGAGAAGGGTGTGAGGTGGTGTTGGCTTCCTGACCACAGCACTGGCATTGGTAGGATTCCTGTGAACTTTTTGCCTGGTTATGGGTTGAACAAGCAAGGGGGTAAAGACCAAAGAGCCTCTGCTAGTGCACAGCTACATTCTGCTCTGGTCTGACCCCCAAAATGATGTTTTTTTGGTGGGGGGGACAATCAGAGGAGCTTGAAACCAGCCGTGTGCACATGGAAAGTGTCAGCCCAAATCCCAATTTCTTTTTCTTTACATTGTAATGCAGAAATGCTAAAATTGTGGGCAATGCTTTCATGGGGAATAGTGACAGCCAGGAAAAGAAGAGAGAGCCTGTAATTGCAGGCTTTCACTGACAGCAAAACAACCCTTTAATAATAACTAAATACAAGGAGCGTGCAGAGAGCAATCTTCTCAGAAAGAAACAAACACTCATTTTTCTCTTTTTTTCCTCCTCACCAGAAACAACTCTGCTACAAAAGGGCTGGCTGGCATCACCCAGATCTCCTTCATCCCCAGGGATTCATTTGCCCAGGCATGCTGGTGTGTGGCCGGGCAGGATGAACCCTGGCAATGCCCCTATTCCCTCCACACCAGAACCCAGCCACTCAGTGGGCTGTATGGTGGGTTCATGGCAGGGTCCAGCATCCCTGTGCTCTGGGAACCAACCTGTTAGTTTTTAATAAAACTATTAAAGCCTCAAAATCCCTTGGGGTAGAGGTACAAGGGGTGGACATGGGCAGGCATTGGGAGTGAGGCAGAAGAAACATGGAGAAGGTCCCCAGGGAGGTCCCTGGTGGAGTGGGGGGAGTGGTGCCATGGAGCACTGCCACCCCTGCTCCAGCTCCATACCCAGGGCTAAGGGGGCAGCCCTGTGGCACAGGGGTACTGCTGTACTTCCCCATTGTGGAGGTCCTTCTGCCTGTCCCCATCTCAGGGCTGCTCCTCTGGGGGTGCTCCCACAGCGCTGGCGCTGACTGGCTGCATCCCTCTGGGCATTCACCTCACCTCACCCCAGGTGACACAGGGACAGTGAGAGGTGACACAGCGTAGCTTCAGCAGGGGCAGAGGAGGAGTTGATGGATCTGTGGCTGGCCCCGTGTGGAATTCAGCATCTGCCTCTCACATCAAGCCAGCCCTGCAGCACTCCCAGTTTCAATAGACCTGCTCTGCTTCACCACACTCCCTGCCCTGCACAACAAATCCAGCACCCTTGCGGGCAGCTCTTCCCCACCCAAAGGCCACCCAAAATCCAGTTTGCCTTCCCGTGCAGCCAGCCAGCTATTTGACAGCAGGTGAGGATGAGGAAGCGGCGGCGGAGGAAGGGGGGCAGCATGGCCAGGCGGAGCCGAGCCGCAGGGATGCTCCATCAACATGCAGAGCCACGAGCCAGTCCCATGGTGGCCGGACAGCGTCTGGCTCATCCACACTAACTGCGGGGAAAGGTGGGAATCCAGCCCCGGGATAACGGCGGAGAAGGCATCCCCTCACCTTGAGCCCAGGATAATGGGCTGAATCCCACCGATAGGATCTGCCAGTGGGAGCCCTTTGTGGCCCTTAATTAGGCTGTAATTTAGGTGGTCGCTCCGTTTAGAGGAGCGAGGACAAATCTCCAGCTTGTACAAACGGGCAGTGCAGGCGGTGCCACCCCCGGCTGTCGCCTCCTGCCCTCTCACGGGTGGCGCTCGGGGTGGGAAGATGCTGTGCCAGCTCCGGGCTGGCCAAGCCGCCGGGCCAGCCCTGGTACTCAGGAATCTGCCGCCGCGTGGGGCTTCAACTAATGTGACTTGCATCTGTAATTTACTTTTAAAAGGGGATTCTTGCTTTCTCTCTCTCCACACTGCCTGCTGGCTGCTCCTGGATTTTCCAAGCAAAGGGAAGGGGAAGAGGGGTATGAATAAAATATCATCATGACAGCTTTTATATATATATACATGAACCCGCTCTGTCAGGCTGCGAGCTTCATTTTTAAATAAGAAGCTCAGCTCCGTTCCCAAGAGGCCGGGAGAACGCAGCGGGCTTTTAAGGGAAGGGACCAAAACAGAAGAGCATTTTCCTCTTCCATCACATCAGACTGGAGCTGGGTTAATTACGCTTCTCTGTCCTGATTTAAGCACGGGAGCTTATTCAGTACAACTGTTCCTTTATTAATGAATTGCAACCCAATTTTAACTGGAGGAAGCTGGCGAGGAGGAAAAAAAAATTGGAAACCCTTTTGCCAGCATGCTCTGTTTGCCGCTGCCTTTCATTTACATAACTTCAAAGTGATGCATTTTTTAAACCAACCTATTTTCAGGTCTGGCTGGACTGCATGGGTGCATGGACATCCATGCAGATGTGGCATTTCTCTGTGTACACCCACTGCTGCTGCAGGCTGCAACAGCTCCTGGGCAGGGCTGGGATCCTGCTGGGCTGGGACATGGCTCTCCACACTCTGCTGCTGCCCGAGATGCCGCTGGCTCTGGGTGAATGTCATCATGAGCTTTATGACCGGGTGCCAGCCAGACCCTGCAACATATCCTGGGGTTCCGATCCTGCCCTGGCCCATCCTCCCTAGGATGGACAAAGAGGTTCTTGGAGGATGCCCCAGGGAGCAGGGATTCGTGCTGCTGCAGTCCTGTGCTGTCCTGCAGGGCACCACTGGAACCCCTGGGTCCCTCTGTGCCTCCCCGCAGCATCGGGGGAGTCGCGGGCACCGGCGGCGCCGCCACGCGCCAGGGATCCAGGGACATATGCTGCTTTTTCACGCCACAGAAACACCACCTGCTCGCCTTCCTGCTCAGCCCCAGGCAGGAAGGGAGGGGAGCCCATCACCCCAGTGCCCCCCAGCATGTCCCCACAGCCTCCTGCACCCAGCAGGGCTTGGCCTGTCCCTCCCAGCTGTGGGCACTCACAAGTGGCTTGAGCTCTGGCGTTCCATGGGATGGCACAGCTGATCCCCAATGCTCTGCAAGCAGAGAGAGCTCAGAGCAGCTTCCCAGCCCTGTGGTGTGCCAGGACCCAGCCTGGTGCCAGCACCCACCACTGACACCCTCCACCGGCTCGCTCCACACACAGGAGAGGTGCTGGGGTAGGGGGGAGTCTCATGGATATTCATGAGCAGAGGGTTTGCTGATCAAAAGGTGCAATCCTGTTTTCCTTTATAATATATCTGGTTAATACAGACTTAATGAACAAATGAATAATAAATTAGACCAATTTTGTTTTCTTTCTTCTTGGAAAGGCAGGCACGAAGGGGGACTCTGTGCGGGTTTGATTGATAGAAGGGGTTTGCTGGAAGATCTGCTCCTCAAACCCTTATTAAATATGAAACAAATAATGGTGCAATTGGTTTAATCTTGTTGCAGCAGCGGACGCTGGCTGGGCAGGGAGAAGAGGAGAATGATGGGGAGGAAGAGGGATTTTCCACTGACTTCACCCCACACCAAGGCAGAGTTCAAGTCTCTGGGCAGGGTGCTGGGCACCTCAGTGGTGGTGGCTGCACCATTAACCAGAGCACGGTGTGGGCACAAGGAAGCAGCCAGCACTGCGTGGCACCATCATGGCACATGGCCCAGGGTGACTCAAAGGCATCGTGAGGGAATGGAGCAACAACATCATTGCCCCAGCTGGATCAACACAGGGCCTTTCTGGGCTCAGCAGGCTGATGTCTGAGGAGCTGCCACCAGAAGAAGGATGAGATGATGAGTTCTGTCAGGGAGATGAGTTTGGCCACTCTGTCATGGCTGTGAGCCTGGGATGGCAAGGGGCCGTGGGTCCCTGCACGGCAGCACAGCTCGCTGAGCCAGCGCTGCCTTCGCCTGCATGGCTCATTGCAGCCTCCGGGGTCGTGTCACATCCCACCTGCTGATGTGAAGCACTGGCAGGAGGTGATGAGTCAGGGCCACCGGAGCATCCTCCACCTGGCAGGACTGGTGGGAAGGAAGGTGGCTGCCCAGGGCAACCCAGGGTGTTTCCCTAGGGAGCACTGGGGCTGGCATGCAGATCTCCAGAAACACAAATCTCTTCAGAAACACCCTCCTAGCCTTCAACGGGCTCTAGGGTCTGGGCTTCATCCTGATCTGTCTCCACAATGTCCCGCTGAGATGCCTGAACCACCTGGATTCCCTGCAGAGCCAGTGATAGAAGCATCCTCCTGCCCTAGGATGGACGTGAGTGGATTTCCCATGCCCAGCACCCCTCTGCCCTGCCAGGAGGGCCAGGAAGTGAGGGGCCAGCACCCCAAACCACCCAGTGATGCTTTAGCACACACAGCTCCAGCAGTGCAGTGGGCACTTGTTGTGGAAGCTGCTCCTCTCCAGGTAGCTTCCCACTGCCATCATTTCAATGGAAAAAAGAGAAGGAATTCCCAGCTGCTGTGAGCTTAGTGCCGCTCCAGCTGCCTTGGCCCAGCCTTGCCGCTTTTCTTTGAGCTCAGAGCCCCTCACTGGAATCCTGGCTGTAGTGGGAGGCTGGGCTGGGGATAAAAGTGCCGCTTACCTGCTTACTTCTGCTCCAGCGCCCAACGAGCAGCAACACATGGATTACCAAAAATAATTCCCCCTAGAAAAGGAGGAGGAAAGAGAGGGGAGAAAAAAAAGAAGGAAAAAAAAAAAAAAGAAAAGAAAGACTGTGCTGTGGGAACAGCCAGCTAACCTCGAAAGCCTCTTACCTGGCTAGATTTAACTGCCTTTGTTGCTGCATCAGCCTGAAAAATCCCTTCTTGCATCGTGTCAGTGCTGCTGGCAGCTCCGAGCCGCTTCCCGGCCCTTTGTAATGAAAGGCGGCTCTGTGCGGCAGCAGCCGCGGCTCCGCTCCCCCGGGAGACCGAGCGCAGCTCTCGCACCGCTTCTCTTTGCGGGCCCCTGCTCCGTGTGCACGGGGCTCCAGGAGTGGCCAGGGCAGGAATTGCCTGTATTAAACATTGGCCCCGGCATTCACTTATCTTCTGCCTCCTTGAACCTGCTTATCGCTGTGATCCCAATTGCAGCACTTCCAGCTTGCTCCAAAGTGGCATTTCTGAGACATATCTCCAATCTACTAATTAATGGCTTTATTAATGCTAGGGGAATAGCATGGGTTGGGACAGGGGGTATGAGGGGCAGGGGAGCTTGGATGAATCCAGGGTGCTAAGGTAGAGCCTGAAGCTGTCCTGGGGAGTTGGTACTGGTGGGACACAAATCCCACACACTCCCATCCCCTTTTCCAGGGCAAGCCCCAAGGCCACCTCTGCCACCATGGTTCAGAGCCTGGCATCTGTGCCATGCTCCAGCCAGCAGCACTGTGGGGCTGGGAGTGAGCAGGGGATGAACGGGACCAAGCCTGGGTGACATCTGCACTTTCCCCTTGGATTTTTCTGCCACCTTGGTGGCAGCCCTCAGAGATGAAGAGGGAGCCAAAACAGCTGTGAGGCATCAAAGGGGATGTGTGTATGTGGATGGGGTGCACCACCCACCCCAGTGCTGCCTTTGAGTTGGTGTCACCCAGGATGGTGGGTGACAGCCACCTTGCCTGGGAGCATTTGGCAGAGGTGGCAGTAGCCAGCTGGAGGACACGGAGGGCTGTTCATATGTGTGTGGTTTGCAGGACCTGAGTACACCTCAGGGCCCAGAGCTGCATGGCCAGTGCAGCATGCACCTGCAGCACCCCATTGCCGTGCGTGTGGGGACAGGCACAGCCCCTTCCTGGGACCTGCCACTGCCCGGAGGGAAGCGAACGGGAAAGAGGACGGCGACGCTGCTCCATCCTGCCTGAGACGTTTTGCTCTGTTTCCCAGGGTGGGCATCCCTGTCCCGGGCTGCCGGTGCCTCTCCCTCCCAGGCCCACATCTGTGCCGTGACCCACGGCGGGCTGCGTCCCCATCCCGGGCAGGGCTCACCGCGGGAGTGGGGGGTCCCGAGGGGGTGTGGGGCGGTGCGGGGAGCGAGGCAGGGGAGGCGGCGAGGGGGCGGGAGCCCCGGCCGGAGCGGGGGCCGGTGCCGGGCAGGGCCGGGGGCGGGGAGGGGGCGCTCCCCCCTTGCCGCTGCCCGCCCCCGCGGCAGCGCGAGTCGGCGGCGGCTGCAGACGGGCACGGCGGCGCCGCGCAGGTAGGAGCGACACCGGCGGCGGCACGGGCAGCGCTGCCGCTCCAGGGGAGCTCGGTGCGGGGCAGGAGCGGGCGGCGGGGCAGGTGCGCCCACTCGGTTCGGCTGGAGCGGCGCCGGGTCCTGCCCGGCCGGTACCGGCCCGGGGATGGGAGCGGCGGAGCCCCGCGCGGGGGTATCCCCGCCGCTGCCGCTGGCCGGGGCCGCTGGGCCGGAGCCGGGGTTGGATCCTGCCGGGAGGGAGGCGCCTGCCTGGCCGGCCGGGGTGGAAAGGCTCCGCCACGGAGGATCCGTGGTGGTCCTGGGGACCGTTCAGGGTGACGGGGCTTCTCGGGTGCCCCCGGAGGGCGAGGCCGGGGGATGCCAGGGCTGGCGTGGGCGTGGGTCTGGTGCCAGCTGCCTGGCGGCAGGTGGATCCGGGGGAGGGACACCTCGGGGAGACCCCTCGGCCGCTCGCTGTGGCCCCCCCATTTCCCCAGCGGTCACTGCTCGGCCACCTTGGTGGGGCCGGGGGCGCCTGGGCGAGAGCCCACTCGAGCAGGGAGCGCCCTGGGGAGGCAGGAGTCGTGTCCGGAGGGGCCGAGCCCTTGTCTCCTCTCCCCGCAGAGCCCCGGCCCGCGAGGCACTGCCTGCCTGGAGGTTCACTGCATCGTCCCGGGTGGCCTCAGCGGGCTGTCGGGGTGGCCGGTGGCTCTCCGGGGATGTGATACATGTGACACGGCTGAGCTCCCTGCTCCTTTCCCGGCTGCCGCCTCTTCCCTCTGCAATTTTTCATCCTCCCATCTCCACGTCTACCTCTGCAGCCTCTGGTTTCTTTTTTATCCTTCCCTCTTGTTTCAAGATCCGTGGGTTTGTGTGGACTTTTTTTTTTTTCCAGCCCACTCTCCCCCCCTCCTCCTGTTTTCTCATCCGTGCTCTCGCTCGCTCGAGCCCTCGTCTTTGTTTCAGCAGGGGAAAAAAAAAAAAAAATTGCTTCCCTTGTAAAGTTGGCCCTGGCAGAGCGAGCCCCTGGAGAGCGATGCTGCCCGGGTGGCGCGGGAGCCAATGGCAGCCCCTGCCGCCCTAGAGCCGCGGTCCCCGGCGCGGGGGGACAGCCGCTCGCCCCAATAAATACCTGCCACCTCCCCGGCAGGGCGGTGTTGGGATGGCCCACGGCTGGGGGGCACTGGCGGTCTGACACAGGTACCTCCACGGAGCTGCTTTCCTCAGGGTGGGCTTTTTTCCCGGCATGATTTTGATCACGGGCCCCGTGTCTCGGTTTGGGCATCTCTGTCACTCAGGTCTGTGTGTGGTGCTGGTTCCCGGCGGTCCCGCGGGGCTGGGGGCCCCTCAGCCGGCCTGGGGTCTCAGGGGGCTTGGGGTCTCAGGGGCTTGTGTTTCAGGTGTGTGCTGCTATGCCCAGGTTTGCCTTTGTTTGGAGCAGGGACGGGCATGAGGAACGGGGGGGTTGGTCTTTTATTTTCCCTTTTGCATGTGTCTTTGATACCGTCCCCAGGCGGGGATCCCATTTCCCCGAGCCGCCTTTGCTCTGCGTGGCTCCTCCTGCGCTGCTGGGATTCACAGCAGCCCCAGGTAAACGGAGAAGCCACGGCTGCTCCGTGCTCCCCGCTCCCGTTCCGCGGGCACGCTGCCGGATCCCGGCCGCCGGATCCCGGCTGCGATCCCTGCGTGGAGCCGCTTTGTGGCTGGCTTTGGCCTCGCCGGCTCGGGTATCGCCTGCCGGATGCTGGTGGCAGAATCTGGCCCCTTGTTTATAAGCGAGGGAGTAGTTTTGTCCTTATCTCCATCTGCTACGGAGGCCGGAGCTAAAATTTCAGTGGGATGCCGTGGATCACCCTGGGCGGCAGCCGGCGTGGGTGCTACACCCAGGGGAAGGTGTGGGCACCCCGAGGGGGCAGAGCAGCGATGGGCTCTGGTGAGCCCAGAGTTGGGCTCTTGAGGACCAGGGGTTTAGCCATGGATTTATTGTCTGGCGTCTCTGTCTCCCCTCTGCTCTGTCTGGTTCCTGCTTCATCTCTAGGCTGGCTCTAAAAGGCAGGGAAGAGGTGATGCTCGGTGGGCAGTACACAGAAGGCATGCGGGGTGTTTCGGGGGGCACGCACACAAAACGCCCGCTTCCTTGTCCCCAGGAAGCCGTTTTTACAGGATGCTCTTGTGGCTTTGGGCACCCGATGATTTTGATCACCTAAACAAACCCGGGCGGAGCGGGAGCGGAATGTGAGGGCGCCGAGCCCCGTGGGGAGCGCTGGCCGGGCCCCTCCGGTTACCGGTGCCGCCACGGCCTTGCCAGCTCCATGGGCCGTGTTTGGAGGAATGACGTGTGCGGTGACGGGAGGGAGGGAGGCTGAGCAAGGACGATCGGGAGCCGGAGCCTGGCCGCATCCTGGGGCTCGGGTGGACACCCACAGCAGGAACAGAGAGTGGGGAGGGGGATGAACAAGGGATGGCGTCTTCCTCTGCTCGCCCCTCGGCCCTGTGCGCGGCTGAGCACGACTGCTGCTAGCCCCTGCCTGCCCCTGCCTGCCCCTGCCTGCCCTCTCGAAGCCGTTTGAACTCGGCCACAGGGAAAGAAGGCCAGGCGTAGGGTTTCCTCCCACCTCCCTCTTTTTTTGTGTGTGTGCTTTTAGATTTGAGACATTCCTGAGCGGATATTCGTTGCCGGGGCTGGGATGCCTCCTGCCAGACAAAACTCTCTGAGAAATAGGGGAACCGGTTTGGGATTTTTTCTCCGGTGTCTTGACCCTTTGAGTTATTGGAAAGCCAGCTGCAGTTCAGCTCTGTACAGCGATTCCCATGTCTCCAGACAGTCATTTTGGGTCTGTAGGTGGCTTGCAGAGAAGTAATTGTGAGTACGGGAGCAGCAGCTCACACTGTTGTGGTTTCTGTGGCAGGTTACATGCTTTTGTCCCTATTTCCTCCCCTCCCCAGTTCAGATGTGTAATTATCAGAATCGTCAAAGTGTAAGTTCTAAACCAAAAAGCTGCTGTGACATAATCATAACTCTGCCCTCAGCGAGGTCAGCCTTCGGAGCTGGGAGGCCCAGAGGAGCACTCTGCCACTTTCCCATCTCCTGGCCACCATCCCATCACCCACCTGGCCAGTGACAGGGGAAGGAGAGGGGAGATGCAGTTAGGCAGGCAGGGAGTGGGTGACCTTGTGGGGTCCCCTTCGTCCTGCTCTGCTCCACCACCTCTCGTTTTTGTCCAGGCACTCACTGTGGACATCTCTGAAAGCTCTAATCTGCAAAGCCCTGGGGGGCTCCACACTGCTCTGGCTGCTATTATCCCCGAGACAAAGAGGGACAGGCAGGCAGATTACCTTGGCCTTTATTTTTTCAGCTGAGAGCAAAGAAAAGCCTTAAATGAGCTTGCTGCCAGGGAGGGATTGACGGGGCAGAGCCCCCAATGCCCTGCGCTCCTGCCTCGGGACCCCATTTCTCATCCCTCGTGCTGCCGGTCACTCCCTGCTCTGCTGCAAAGCCCCAGGGTGAGGCAAGGCTTGCCTCAAGGCTGGGCTCCACTGGAGCTCCCCTGCATTGTCCCAGGCCATGTAGCCCCTGGGGCTGGCGTGACCAGGGTCAAACTGACCCTCACACCCGCCTCGCCTCCACCATCTCTGCGCCGGGCTGGAGCGGTGATGGACTGCCAGGGTCTGATCCCGCACGGCTCGGGGGCTGTATCCCACCCAGGCTGGCCCCGTGCCGAGACGGCACCGCCACAGCGAGGGCCAGGTCCCCTTCCATATGGTGCCCCTGGCCAGCTCCCAGCGCCGGGGCAGGTGCTCTTGTGGGGCCTACACAAAACCCCATTGTCGGGGCCCGGAGCGCTTCCCTCCCCGGGCAGCAGCCCCAGCACTGCCGGGCAAGTGGCTCAGCCGGCCGGACACGGCCACATCCTCCTCTAGGTGCCCTGCAGAGGATGGTCACCATGCTGCTGGTGTCCCCCTGCTGTCCCCTCCACCTGGCGCCCTCCCGAGCAGCCCCGCTGCCGTCAGCTCTGCGGGGTGTTTGTGTCACCCGGGGTGTTTGTGCCACCCGGGGTGTTTGTGTCACCCGGGGTGTTTGTGTCACCCGGCCGCTCTGTGGGGTGGCTGTGTCACCCGGCCACTCTGCAGGGTGTTTGTGTCACCCGGCCGCTCTGCAGGGTGGCTGTGTCACCCGGCCACTCTGCAGGGTGTTTGTGTCACCCGGGGTGTTTGTGTCACCCGGGGTGTTTGTGTCACCTGGCCGCTCTGCAGGGTGTTTGTGTCACCCGGCCGCTGAGGCGCTGATGGTTTTATGCCCAGCACTTAATTATTTCCGCGATGGCCACCGCCATGTGCTGGCGAGCGGCGCTGGCTGTGACCCTGCCGCCGCTGCGGCCTGGGGAGCTAATGGCAGAAGCACACCACACGTGGAGTTTAATTATTGGCTTTCTTCCTCAACAGAGTACATTGGCTGACCTTAATGCAATTAATTAGGGCTTAATCAACTTCTGGTGGCTCAGCACAGCACACAGTGATTCCAGCCTTTCCAGGAGGGTTTATAAGAGGTTAAAGCAGTAACGGGGAGGGTGTGCTGTTGTTTGTGGGTTTTGTGAGGCTGTGCTGATAAGTAGAGTTGAGTTTAGTCAAGTATTGGGGTAGAATTTGTGACCTCCCAGGTTGGGCTTATTGCTGGGCATTCTGGTAAAGGCAGGGGAGAGGTGAGCTGGACTCAAAAGCTGTGTCTGAAGTGATGCTTCTGCACAAAAATGCTTGTGTTGCTTGGTCTTAGCATCCCACTGAGCTCTGGGATGGCTTGTGGTGGGACTGTGGCTGGGTTATGCATTCAGCAGCTGCTGGTGGGTGGCTCTTAGGTTTGCACCCAGAGTGCTGGAGGTGATGTGTAGGGAGCCCCTTCACCTCCTTGAGCAGCTGTCAGCCTTGGAGACAAGAAGTTGCTGGTCACTGACTGTTCCTGAGCAAGAGGGAGGCTCCTTCCCCTCCCTGCCCAGCAGCACTTAAAAATTAATAGTTCTCATTAATATAACAGAATGTCCCCAGCACCCTGTCCATGGGCCTCTGGCTCTGCACCCTGTGGCTCCTCTTGGCTTGCCTGCTGGGTGCCCCAAAAGCTTTTGGAGCCCCTAGAAAGGGGATTAGACACAGATGTCCAGCATAAAGACTTATTTGCCCACCTTGTGTTTCCAAGCCAGCAGGCACCTGTTGGCATAGCTGGTGATGGGGTGCCCTGTCCTTGGGCTGCTGGGGATGAAGTGACTCAGCCTTGGCCTTGCAGAAAGTCCCTGGCAGGGGAGGTGGCCCTGTGCCAGTGGTGGCATGTCCTGGTGTCAGCTGTGGTGATGGTGGCTGAAGCCACGCGTGTCCTGCTGTGTATCCTCACATCCTGCATGCTTTGTGTCCTCTCTGTGCCATCATCCCATAGCAGTTCCTGTCCCACAGTGACATGTCCCACACTGTGCCGCTGTTTCCTCGGGTTCCTATGTCCCCAGGTGTGCCACCAAGCCCCCTCGTGCAGGCTGCCCAGTGCTGGGAATGGGATATGGTAGCAAGAGCTGTGCCAGGCACTGTTACTGCCTTGTTTGCTTCAGTGCCAATTCATTAATATCAAAAAGCTCATTAGGATTCCACAGCCCTTCCCAGCCTGCCCTCTCCTTTGGAGGCTGGAGGATACTTGTCTGCAGGATTTTGCTGCAGCCCTGTATTCAAAGAAGTCAGTTCTGGTCTGTCCCATCCCGGTGGTTTGTGTCCCTCTCTCTGTTCCTGGTTAATCCATGTGGCTAAAGCCCCTCGAAGCCTGGCAAATGGGAAGTGATATTTGCCAATAATCCCTCTGCTCTCCTGGGCAGGCTTCTCATATTACAGGTTTATTAAAAAAAACAAAACCCAGGCAGCAATAACTGTGGCCCCAGGGAGAGCCCAAGCACAGATTGTTCCTGGTCAAGCCCCACCTAACAGGAGAGCCCAGGCAGAGGCACTGCAGGCCCAGCCCTGTCTCATGGAGCATCTCTAGGCAGAGCCCAGCCCCTCTTGCAAGCACAGAAGGAGCGAGCCACAATCCTCTTTCTCTCTAGGGAACAAGCAGGATTCCCATGAGTCACAGACTAAATCCAATTTCTCCCCTCAAAGGCCGTGGGATAAACCCTGCTATTGCTCACCAGGGCTCCCCAGTCCGGTGCCAGCACCCCCTGGCCTTGGCATCTTCCCCACGGCTGGGCTGGGCAGGAGCAGCTCCTGCACTGGCATTTTGCAGCACAGGACAGAGCCAGCACCACCTGCCTGGCACTGACTGGGACAAACACAGACTCTGCTGCTGATTTCTGTGCTTGGCTTTGCAAAGCTTTTGAGGAAACTTGCCCAGAATTAGGGATGCTGTTTGCTGTTTCTTCCAGAACAGGGTAGTGATGTTCTTCCATCCTTTCCCAAAGTCTTGTGTCCTTGAGAATGAGTTTTTCCCGTGGGAAATTCAAACCACTAATATGTGTAGCTAGGGGTGGGTTTTTTTTCTTTTTTCCTGCAAAAAATACCAACTTTGCTTCAAGGAATCTCACTTCAGCTCGAAACATTTCATTGCATGGACTGGGGGTTTCCTTCTGGTTTTAAGTCAACATTTCGACTCAAAATGTCACTCAGGGAAAGCTGCTTTTTTTTTTTTACAGCAAAAGTCTGTAAAGATGACATTTTAAGTGGAGAAGAAAATTGCTGCTTCGTTTCAAAATGCCAACTTTGAGTGGGGTGGGCTTAGAATTTTGGTTGGGGTTTTTTTGGGTTTTTTTTTGTTTTTTTTTTCATTCCAGTGTTTCCCAGGGGAAAAGCAAAATGGTTTCATTAGACTCAAGTAACTGTTGCCCCCTCCATCATCTACAAAATAATTTTTTTATTTTTTTAACCTGTTTGCATTTTTTGTAGCAGAGAAACTTTTGCCATGAGAAGTTGTGCTCCGGTGGGATGCTGCCTTGGGAGGGGATTTGCTGTATCCAAACCTGAACCCTCTATGGTAAATTCTCTGCCACCAAACTCCAGTGAGGACCTGTGGGAGAGACTCCACTGCTGCCGGCTGGCCTTGGTTGGGAAGGATTAACAACACATCCAGGTTTTGAAGCTCTCCTCTTCCTGCTTTCCCTCTGTCTTGTGCTCCTGCTTTTACTTCATACAGCTCTCCTCGAAAATCGCTTGTTCTACATTAGGCTAGAGACTGGAGTTATCTTCCTTTTATTTATTAGGGTAATTATACCTAATGATTCACATGCCCGGGGAGAGTAATTGCTCCCAAATACAGCGCTGCCAGTGCTCTTACCCAGCCGGGGTGCAGTGATTCACAAACACATCTTTTCCTACAATTCATCAGCTGATGATCCCATAATTGCTGACTTGGTTTGGAGCATTAGGGAGAGGTCGTGGGCCCGGTGCTGCCCTCGGGGTGTTCAGTGGTCCCCTGGCAGTGTCTCCTCCCTGCCACCTAATGCCGGCACCGTTCCCTTCCTGTGTGGGTTTTGCTGGGGATTTCAGTCGGGCCAAGCCCCCCAAACTGTGGGATTTGTGCTTTTGAAAGAGTCACAGTGCCTCATCTGCTAAATTCCGTGGCACAGCCTGGCCAAGGGAAAGCCTCCGCAGTGGGAATGATCTCTCCATCATCCCGAAAAGTGGCAGAGATGTGGTTTTATGCTCACCTCTTCACAGCTCTTGGAGCAAATGGGTGAGAGCCTTGGAAATACTGATGTGGAAAGCCAAACCCCCCAGGTTTTGCATTGAAAAAAAGCTTCTGTGTGAATGGATTCCCCCTTCCTTGGGGTCTGGCAGCCCCCTGCCAGCACTGCCCCAGGAGGGGATGTGGGGAGAGCCTTGCCTCAGGACTCCTGCCCATCCACCATTCAGCGTGGGCAGGGACATCCCACGAGGGATGATGTGCAGAGTCCACCCTTCTGCACAGCTCCAGCCCCTGGAGAAACCTGGGCACTGGGGGTGCAGGAAGGATTCTGGGAGTGTTTTGAAGAGTGTTTATGTTCCCAGTGCTACCCTGTGGCATGGAGAGGCAGCCTGAGGCTTGAAATTCCTCCTGCTGGCTTAAGGGGAGCCTGGGATGATGGCTCTGAGGTGGCCCAGCCCCACAATGCTGTAGTGATTAGCTGGAAGCTGCTGCTTGGCTGTGCTGTCTTGGGCCAGTAAAAAGTTTTTTGGTACTGTGTGGCAACCAGCGAGTGTATTGGTACTTTGTTGGGGGGGAGGGGGGGGAGGGTTGTTGGGGTTTTTTTTTGGGGGGGGTGGAAGGGTTGGTGTGGGTTTTTTATTTGTTTGGTTGTTCGTTTTTTTTTTAGCTAGAAGACCCTTCCTTCTTCAGTCTGGGCTGCACTGCATGAGCCTGCACCCACCACCCATTCTCTCCTGCCCCAGGCACTGCTCCAGCTCTTCCATCCTGTGGATGCCAGAATCGCTGCTGGGATGTGAGCAGAAAGGCAGGAGGAGAGGAGGTGGCACAAACAGCCCTTTCTGCTGGCCACCACTTGGCTTCATCCCCAGCACTGCTTGGGTGGGCTCCCAGGGGAGCCTGCCCTGGTTGCCCCCCCCCCCAAACATGGGGTTGTGCCAGTGCTGCTCTGGAGTGTTCACTGGAGGAACAGCTCCCTGCTTTCCTTCCACCCACATCCACCTCCTCAGAGGAGGATCCACTTCTTCACGCTAGTGCCTGGCCCCCTGTCAAGAGCTCCTGCAGGCAGCCAGGAGCTGCTCCTAATGGGCTGCCGGGGGATTTGGGATCTGACAGCTGGGTGCTGACAGCTCCCTGCAACTGCTCACTCCAGCTGCTGGGCCCTCCTCTCCCTGGTCAGATGGAGAAGGATGCTCTGACATCCACAGGGAGGAGGCTGGCTCCTTTTTCTCCCTTCACTGGGTGTTTGTGATGGTGCTGGAGGGTTGTGGTACCCACTGCCTTGGTGGGGCTGTAAAGCCTTGGGGGACAATGATGGTACAGACAGAGGGATCCCAGGCCGGAGGAGCTCTTGCAGGGTGATGCTCCCAGATGGGCACTGTGAGAGCAGAGGAGGTCTGGGTGTAGCACAGAACAAGTCTTGTTGCAGCTCCCAGCAGGGAGTTGGGATGGGAGGCCCTTGTTAGCTGGGAGCAAGCGCTGACACCTCCAGGGGCTCCCTCTGCAGTGGCTCTGGGGCCTCCCAAGCTTTCTCCTGGCTGACACATTGCCTCTCTTCTCTGTTTGATGCAGGGCTCCTGTGCCTCCCCACAGACCCCACACGGGGGCTGGTGGGAATCCTGGGGGCTCCCTGGGGTCCGGCTCCATCCCAGCGGGGCCGTGGCAGCCCAGGCAGAGGGACTGTCCCATCGTCCTCCAGCATGGAGCATCTCCCAGCCTGCCGTCTTGTATGGCTTTTTATTCCTATGTGATTATACATCCCACTTCATATAGGGATTGAAGCCGTGCAGTACGCCGGGGTCCTACGGCAGAGAGAGCCCCTGTGCCACGGGAGCTGGCCTCGGAGGAGCCACCAGAGCTGTCCCCAGGGTGCTGGAGGAGGATTGCTGGCCTCAGCCTGGACTCCGTCCTGCATCCCAGGCTCCCCAGCCCTCTTGGGATGCAGGTGAGGGGTGCCAAGCTGCTTTGGGGTGAGGCCAGCACAAGCCCACTTCTTGCATGGCACCCCCTTGCATGGGTGGGCCTGGTTCTGCACCACATCTGCCGTGGAGAGCCCCAGTGACTGCACTGGTGGGCTCATCCCTGGGGAATCTCCTGCTTTGGCTTTGTCCCCGACTGTCCTGGGATATGCAGCATTTATGTGCAGACACTGACAGCAGCACAGGGGAGGAGGAAGAGGAAGAGGAGGAAAAAGATGCTGAGGAATGGCCATGACAGCAAGGGCTGCCCCAGGCACGATGCTCTTCAAGGTTTCTCAAGAGGCCTCAGCCACTCTTTCAAGGTTTGTGTTATATCTGTCACATTAGCGAAAATGGTGAAAATTGTGGCTTGTGGAGGAGATGAAAGGCAGCCCCTTGCAATGCCTCCATAAAGGAAGGGCCCCATTAACACCTAGTGAATTATTGGCCATTAATCAGGCTCTGTGCAAAATAAAACCATCCACATTTATCATTATTGGATCCTTAATGAAGTGATAATGGGAATGCTGGGGAGCTGTGATGTTAATGTCTTCTAAGAGGCAAGAGCAGAGCCAAAGGCGGCAGCCAAGATTTTTAATTTACTGCCAGAAGCTCGTGCTGTTAATAACGCTGTTACTTCTCCCGGCCGTTTGCTACGAGCTGCCGACTTAGGAGAGCAAATCAACCCTGAACATACCCAGACTTCGTTCACCTGCTCCCCACGCAGCATCTGAGCACGTTTTTCCCACCCACTGTCCCAGTGTCCCCTGCCCATGTGTAGGGATATGGCTGGGGAGCTGCTGGCTGTCTTCACCCACCTGACTCCTTCTGAAGGCTGGCTGGTGTAGAAAGTTTTGCTTCTCTGATAAAAAGGGAAGGGACTGTGAGTGTCAAGCCTCAGTGTCTCTTACTGTCCTCACTCTCTCTGTGACTTTTCTCCTTAGGCACAGGCACCCCAGAACCAGGGGGGCACAGAGCTGCTCCCAGCACAGCCCACACACTGGGGGTGCTCAGTGGGACTGCAGCCACACTCTGGCGTCTTCATTTGCACAGCTTTACTCCCACGAGGCCAATATCCCATCCAGGACAGCATGGACAAGCTGCAGAGCCCTGCTCAGCTCTGGTGACTCACTTGAGTTCACAATGGGAAAGTCATTGCTCCTGCCAAGCCCTGCCAGCCCAGAGGCAAATCATTACCAGGCAGGTAAGCAATGTTCTCATGTCTTAAGATTTGTGTAATCTCACAAATCCTGCTAAACCTTGCCAGTGTGACCCAAAGGTATGTTGGCTCATGCATGGGGCCTTTTGACCTTTTGTGAAGGGACTGCAGGTCAGAGGGAGCTGGTCTTGGGCTGGAGTGATAGCAGACGATTCCCTGCTGAGCACTGTCCCGAGGAATAAGATGATGCTTTGTCTGTAAGGGCTGAGCACACTCCAGTGCTCATTTTGTCCCTCAGTAGAAGTTGCACAAGGTCCACCAAAGCAAGCCCTTGGAAATGGAGCTTTGAGTTATCCAGGTAGAAGCAACATAGAAGTATTTCTGTAGCCTGGGTGTTCTTGCTGAACCTCCCGTGGGCTGTTATCTCCTCATTAGGAAAGAAAGGACAAGAACAAAAATCCATATATGGCCGCTAAGCAAAGGTAGATGGGAAATGCACTTCAAACAGCTCCATCCTTTCAACAAACCTTTTATTAGACTTCTCTCCTCCCAACACATACTTTTTAATCATTATGAAAAGCCACCATTCAGGAAGCAAGAACACTGCTCGGGCTACCTGGAGTAGGCATTTCCCAGGAGAAGCCAGCCTGCACTAGCCCACATTCTTCTGGAATTGACTGGGCGGCAGCACAAGCAGCAGCTCGAAGTTCAGGGTGGTGCTCAGCAAAGTGGCAGAGCTGTGGGCAGGGGGTTGTGGTGGCCCTGTGGCAGTGTGCCCAGGCTGGCACACAGGACCCTGCTGCAGTGACCCTTGTGCCAGGCAGCTCAGCCTGAAAGCGGAGTCACTCTGCATTCCCCTGGAGCGGAATGGCCCCGGGAGCAGCGGGCAGGCTCTGGAGCCAGCTTTACCCTTCTGTCCTGGCTGCAGCCCACACTTGTGGCTGTATCACTGCCGTGTTAGTGCCCCGTGGAGTGCCCTGCTGGGCACGGAGCAGGCGACCTGCCAGCGGCCTCTGGAGAGAAACACACGGCACAAAGTGGCTTCTGCTGCACAACCACCCCCTGACATTACAGGGGCACAGCGAGCTCTATAACGCTTGGCAGATTTTCCCCAGCAGATCTCAGAGCTGTTTGCCACTGTGAGCAAGTTCAGGCATGTTACAAAAGACCTTCAGACTCTGAGGACAAATGAGATGCGTGGATAGGTTTAAACCACTGGGCAAGACTGGGGTTTTGAAATTCCCAGGGCTGTGCCTTATTCTGAGCCTGGGCTGTAGCCCAGACAGTCCAGCTGCCAGCCTGGCATTGACACCAGGCCCCACGATGTTCCTGCTGATATCCCCACTTGTTAGATACTGGCTTCAAAACCAAAATAGGAGGTTTTGCATCCTCCTCAAAACCCCACCCTCTGATGCACCTTGAAGTGGGGCGCAGAACGACTGACTGTTCAGTGAGACACCACAGGGTGTTGGCACAACGGTGTATTTATGTCACGAGATGAGATCAGCCACACGGAGTAGGTCGGTCTGTCTGGAAAGAGTCTGAGTCAAGCGTGTCCTATTACATTAGAGCTGGATTTTCAAAGGAGCTCAGCTCCCACTTAGGCTCTGTAACAAACAGACAGATATTCAAAAGGAGTTGGATGTGCTGGGTCATACTGGCTGCTGAGCTAAAGCCCTTTGAATATCCAGCCAAACCGTCAGTGTGCCTGTTGCTGCAGGCAAAGCCCTCCTGAAATCTAGCCCCACTCTGAGCTCCATGTCCTGGGAAACCAAGCTCATCTCTGCTCTCCCACATATCACACTGCAGCAGGTGACAAAAATGTGATTACTACAGTGTCCTCGTGCATGTGGGGAGAGCAGCTCCCTGTCAGAGCACAGCTCTGGCAGATTTGCCCTTTGATCAGCTCAGCATTGTGGGTCAGGAGAGCTGAGCATGAAGGTTTCCTTGTCTTTTGTTCTGTGGAATTAGCAGAGTTAATCAGAATGACAGCAACTTCTGCCTCAGTGCAGAGGAAAGGTCAGTGGCTCAGGCTGGATGCACGACAGTTTTCTAGACAGTTGGAAAACAACACCATGAAAGCTCATAGCATGCTTGCTGCTGGCACGGAGGTCAACAGGGACCAGCGGGGAAGATGTTACTGTGGAGGGAAGGGGGCTGGAAGAAGACTCCACACAGCTGGCTTGTCACTGCATTTCATTCATCCCCATCCTAACACTGTATAGTGAAGGTATGTCATCCTCTTTATCACTGTGCACTGCTTGTGCCACCCAGCCAGTATCACTCTGCCAATGTGCTTCTTAGCCATGCTCCTGGGTGTTCATCCTGCTGGGCTTGGGGTCTCTGTTACCTCACTACGCTGCTGTGGGAAGAACTGTAGGGCACTGTGCTGGCATGTGGAGCGGGTGCTGGGTGTCCTGCTCCCACCACATCCCCCAGCAGCTCCATGCTTCAGGTGAGCAGGCCTTGCTGTTACTGCTTTTACACCCTTCAGTTGCTGTAATAGGCTCCAGTGGACCCCTAAAACTCCACTGCTGAGCTGCTCTTGAGCTCTGGGGGCACTGGAAGTGCAACAGTGCAGCAAGGGCTCTCCATGGTAGCCCTGCCATGGCCTCAACTTCCCCTCATCTCTTAAATTAACTATAGTTGAAGCAGTCACAAGCTTTAAATCCAGTTTCCTTATCTGTAATATGACCTCTTACCTTCCTCTGATCCTCCCAATTACAAGTCTTGTTTTTGCCGTGGATGTCCACTCATGTGTCTAATTAGTGGATTCTTTCTGTCAAAGACACTAGCAGCCTCAACAGTGAGATCTAATTTAAGTAGTTTGCATTTGTCCACAGCATTGGTGCTTTAATTTACTCCTGCTCCTAATTAAGTGTATTTGGGTATCTGCAGAGGGAGCTCTCATGATCTCTCCATGGCTCTAATTAAAATGGCCTGGATGTCCATGACATTGGTGCCTGTCAAGCCTGTCACCAGGAGGTGATGCCCACCTTGGAACTGGCTGAAGAACGTGTAGGAGTCATTGTTCCTGAGAAAGGCCTCCACATCCAAACCCTCCTGAAGTGCCTCAGCCACCAGCCCTGGGCTGCAGAAGGCTCCTGCTGCCTCTGTTGGCCCGTCCTGCCCATCTGTTCCCCCACTGAGGAAGAGGATCTCACACCTCCCCTGGGGGCTGCTGGCTCCTGTGCCCTGAGCCTTGTGCAGCCCCAGCCCCACACGCAGAGCCAGCTCCTGGTTTCTCCCTCCCTTGCCGATTCCTTGGAGCTGGACTGTGGTTTCTCCACCAGCCAGGATGCAGACTGGTCTGTCGGGCCCTAATCCTCGCAGTGCCTGTAGAAACTCATCCAGGTGCAAACCTGGGATCTGTAGCTCTGCTGCCAGCTGCAGGAGATTCCCTCTCAGCTCGTCACCCAGGGGCCCTTCTCCGCGGCTGGTGAAGCCCAGGCAGACCAGCTGGATCAGCTGGCAGTACAGTGTGGCAACACGGCCAACTTCTCCATGGACTGCTGCACTCAGGACCAGAGCAGCATAGCCCAGGCCCTCAGCCTGGCGCCTGGCCTCTTCCAAAGCCAGCGTGTTGGACCCAAGGATGATGTTGGAAACATGGGAGTAGTTTTCCGGAGCAGTGGGCTTGGTGGGAGAGCTGGAGAGGACCATTTCCACTGACTTGGGCAGGTTGTGCAGCAGGTTGTATTTGGTGAGTATGTGAAGGCAGTCTTGGACGCTGTGGGAGCTGGCAGCAGTGGGCCCACTCGCTATGATGTCCAGGGGGTCACCTATCACGTCAGACAGAATGAGACTCACCACCTATGGAAAGAAATGCCCACAGATTATTGCAGGAGGCAAAGACAGCTGACCTCAAAAGAGCCCTGGCATGAGCACTGCTCTGAGTGCCATCCCCACATCAAAGCAGATGGAAGCAGGGTAGGTCTTCGCCCATTTTTGTTTTATGGACCTGTGAGTGTCACCTTGCCCTTCTCAAACCCACAGATTTACAGTCCCCTTTGAAGCTGGACTATTGTGTTGGAAGATGTAACCTGTGACACTGCACTTGTCAGGCCCAACCTAGTGTGGGTTCAGCAATGGCACATGCTGAGAACAGCCCCCAGGAGAGCCAAGGGTCAAAGCCAGCCTTGAAAGCACTGTGCTGAAGCACCAACACTTGGAAGTGTCTGCTGGGTGTGGGCTGAGGTATGCAGAGTGGCATGATGGGATGGCTGATGTTTCCCAAGTCTGAATTCCCACCCTCCCAGCTCTGTCTCCCTGAGAGTTTAAGTCCAAAGTCAAATCTCAGCTGGAGAGTCCCAAAACAGTGTGCAAAGTTGTTCACTCAATATGGACAAAAACCTGGCAAGTTGATTAAACCTCTGTTTTGAGGACAGAAGGGTGATCTCTGGGCAAACAGGGGCTTTCCCTTGGTTACCTGTGCAGGATGTGCCAGCTGGGCCAGCCCTCCACCCTTCAGCACAGACAGAGTCTTCCGGACAATGTTCAGCTCCTGTATGGCAGCTCCTCGGGAAGCCAACATCTTTGTGAGTTTCTCCTTTTCCTCGAGGAGGATGGGAGGGATGGGAGCAGGCAGTAGGGCTGATCCACCCCCTAGGATGCAGAAGAGATGGCAAGGACATCAGGATAGCAGGAAAAGGAGGACAAAGGAGAGCAAGGCCTTAGCCTTTTCTTTTCACTCACCAGTGTCTGGAGGGAAGGCAGAGGTGACTGGGACCTAAGCTAACATCTCTGGAGAATTCAGTCATCTTCAACAGTGGGTTTTAATCACTTCTGTCCTGCACTCTGCAGTGAGCTACACTTCACCCAGGTAGGGTGAGCCTGGCTGGATGGGGGCACCACAAGCCTGCAGTGTGGTGGGGATGACAGAAGAGGGACAGCAATTACCCTCACTTCTGCACTGGGCTACAGCTGGGTCCTCACTCTGATATTCAAGGGTTACCTGGGTGGCTGAGCAGGGAGCACGGCCTCCAAGGCTCACACAGCAGCCAGTGCTGTGCACATGGGGACACTGCCTGCTTTGGTGGCTCCATTTATTCAGGACAGTGTGCAAAAACACTGGCTAGGGATGCAGCAAGATTGGAAACTGCTGAACTGCACTCATCTGAGCCTGCAAAGAAAGAAAAGTGGGGACAGTAATGCAAAGGACAAAGCACACTCTGAGTCCAGGGTGATAGCTTCACTGATGGGAATTCTGTCTGATACAAGCAGGCATTGGAAATGAGGAAAAGAAACCAAGGTTCCAATGGAAAAGTGGAATGGATGGAAAATACAGAGGAGAAAAGAGCAAGGTCTGTGCAAGAGTGAATGTGCACAGAAGTACAGCTGAATGCTACTGTCACAATGCAAAGCCTGCTCAGAGGTTTGAGACAAATCAGCATCAATAAAACATGATGAGCAAGAAAAACAAATGCAAATGCCTGTGTTTCAGTCAATAGCCAGGGATCTAGCTGAGAGGCAGGAGCAGTTGGGGACCGGCTGCTGTGTGGGAGTGCACATGCATAGGGAGCCCTTTACAGGCTCCCTGAAGGGCTGAGGAGTCTCTTGGAGATCCCTGTAGCCAAAAGACAGGAGGAAGCCCAGGGGAATCCCCAGAAAGCACAGCTAGCTTCCAGTCACTTGGGTGTTTGCCTAATGGCACTGCTCTCCATACTGGAGCAGGCTTCAGCATCCACAGAGGAATAAACACTGAGCAGAGGAGACCAAGGCCTTTCTGCAGAGCTGCTCCAAGCCCCTGCATGCTTTTGCCCTGTGACATCCATTGAGCTCAGGATAAGGTGATGTCACTGCATCCCTCTGTAAATCTTCTTACACAGCCCTGGATCTGGGGACAGCCTGGGGCCACCAGCCAGGCCCTGGGGGTGTGCAGGGCTGTCCCTGCAAGGCATGCAGCTTACTGTGTGGTACCTGGAGGCCTCATTTCCACTAGCTGGGAAGGAGCCAAGCCCTGGGAAAGGTCAGTCCCACATCTCAGCTTTCAGACTCACACTCCTGCACAAATACAGAGCATGCAAGTCTACTGTGTGCTTGCTTCTCCAAGTCTGCATCCCCAAATGTAAGGAGGGGGCAGGAAGAAAGTGACTCCTTGCCAAGAGGTGAGAACAGCTGCCAGGTTGTGCCCAGAGGTGCCACTTCACTGTGGTGGCACAACTGCAGGACCCAGCCTGTGCAGCTCAGCCTCTTTCCAGTGCTGGGAGGCAGTGTGTCCACTGTAGCAGCAGGAAGCCCTGTGCTCTCCCTTGCTGCATGCCTGGAGAAAGAATGGCAGAAGGGAGAAGAAAAATCAGAGGTGCAGTGTCCATGCTGAAGGGGCTGGCACAGCACAGCACTCGCTGCATGGTCAGGGGTGGGCAGGCAGCTGGGGACTCTCAGCAGATCCCATTCCCTGGGATCTCCACACTACCTGAGATGAGCACAAGGAGCAGATCGTCTGCAGTCAGACCCTCAGCCAGCTCCTGGATGGCAACTGCTCCCTTCAGAGCCTCTGCATCTGGGAGGTTGTTCTTGGCACCTTCGATGACCTGGATTTTGCTGTGTGGCTTTAGCAGCATCTCCCTGGTGAGGTAAGAGAGGCAATTACACCACGGATCTGTGCACCCACACAGGCAGCCAGGCTGTCACCTGCAGGTGCCTGGTGTACCAGTGGCACACAGTGAGTGACCAGGACAGGCACATGGCCTTTGCTGAATGTCTCTTCCCCACAGCCAGAGAGGCAGCACATCCAGCACAAGAGGTGGGCTGCAGCACTGGTGTCACTGGGATGTGATGGTGGTTGAAGATGAGAGCAGTGGGGTGGATGGGGTGGGCAACAGAGCAAGGCAGCTCAAAAGGACTTAAGGTGTTCCCAGCAACATCCCACAGAGGGAAAATCTGGCAGCCTAAACCCCTCCTTTTTGCTCCCCAAAATTGTCCAGAAACAGTCCTTACTGCATTCCCGCTTGCTGCAGGCTCTCCTGGATCCCCAGCGGCACATTGATAATCCCCCGAGTGAGGTGTTCTCCCAGGATCTCTTCTGCTGCTGCAGCCATCCCCAGCACAGCTTTTCCGAAACCCACCAGGTACAGGTCCCTCTTCACTGGAAAGGCCTGACCCCTCACCAGCAGCTGAGGGCACCCATCTCCCTGAAGCTTCAGAGCCCTTTTCAGCATGGGAGCTGGGCGGACGGTGCCCAGGGCGCCACGGAACAGGGACAGTGCATGCTCGCGGAGGGACATGGTGCACAGGCTGCCAGGGCTCGGCCACTCTCCGCTGTGGGGTGGCCTTCTGCACTCTCTGCCAGCACTGCCAAGGCCTCAAGGGCTGAAACAGCCAGCAGCCTCCAACCTGCAAGGGAAAGTGAACCTTTTTGCTAGTAGAAGAGACAGGGCTGTCACAGAAAGAACAGAGGTCAAAACACGAACCGTGCAAGGTGCCATACAAGCAGCATTTTCTAACTTTTCCCCAGGCAGGAGGAAGGGAAGGACAGTGTCACATTCAAACTGTCAGCTTGTGATTCCCCAGCAATCTCATCACCTCCTGCATGGAAGGTGAGCTCTGCCAGCCAGCTTCTCCATCACTGTAGATTTGCCACTGGCAAGCCATCATTTCTATTTGCTTAGCGTTTGACACCTTTCCAAGCTGTGGAAGCTGCTCTCTGTCCTGGAGAGAGCAGGGCATCTGGGTGGAACAGCTTTTCACTACATTAACTCCCTTCCCCATGCTAGCCAAATGCTGATCTCATCCTCTGGCTGTGCATTGCCCCATGGGTCCCTACAGCATCAGATATAGACCGAGGAGAAACAACAGCCTTGCTGGCTGCCTCATGCCTTGCTGCTGGTGGCCACAGAGAGACCAGTAATGAGGTTTCCTCACCAAACAGCAAAATAACAAAAGGCTTAATTTACCTTTCTCTTTTATTCCTCGTTATCCATTAAAATCACATTTAGACCCCAAATAAACTTCATATCCAGGCAAAGTTGCCAGCTGTCTGTGAAAGCCCATTTGAGCTGCTCTCCACTGAGCATTAGCATTATCTGCAACAGATCTGTGCATGGACTGAAAGATCTCAGCTGCTCAAGGGCAGATACTTGTCTTGACAGAGGAAAGGTGGCCCCTGCCAGCACACACACATCTATTCCCTCCCAGCATTTCTCCTTCCTTCTATTAACTGGCAGCAAGTTCACTGCTGGTTTCTGAGGATCAAAGATCCTTGTGATCTGCATCTCTCCTGCTCGTGGCATTTAAGGCAGGGTGCCAGGAGGCTGAAGCAGCCAGGGCAACACGCTTGATCACAGACCCATTGAAATTCCCCGAGAGAGAGTTAATCCTCTCTCAAGTAAGTGGATGTGTTTTGTGCAAGGGCTTCTTTTAGGAGAGCTCAGGAGTCCAGAGGTCTCTTTGTTCTGACACTCCCTAGCATTGCAAGGTGTTAATCATTAAGCTGGACAAGCTTTTCAACAGCTCCTCTGGGTCTAAATCTGCCTTATTTTGCTGCAGGGACCCAAAAGATCTACACAAAAAAACCTCTACACACCTTCTCAGGCATTGAAATTTGGGCACACACTGAAATCTTGGGACAAGGGACTTGTAGGTAAGGCTATACAGAGAATCAAAAGTTTGTCAGAGAAAGAACCCCAAGAATCACTGAAGTGGGAAAAGACCCTTAAGAACAAAGGTAAAAGTAAACGATTAATTGCTCAGGAGAAAAGATTTTAAAGCCAAGGCAGATTAACTATTTAGGTGTACTCCCTTTAGGAGCTGGTCAGAAGGACTGTCTTTTCAACCACGAGGAGAACAAAAGACAGGGTGCCCTGTAGACTCTTAAACTTCATGGCAGCTGATGCTGCCAGCAGTTGAAACTGCTCACCCCACTTCACTGAGGGCCAGAGTAACTGTGCTGACCGCAGTGAAGTCAGCTGTGCACCTCTCAGGAACTGAGATAAGCATCTCTGCTCCCAGCATGTCTCTGATTCACCTGTGCAATCAGAAGAAGGTGCTACAAAGCAGAGGTGCATCACACCCCAGGTCACCTCGTCTGAGCTGCAATACAGGGTTTGCAGAAACGGCTGGAGAAGAAAAGCTTAAAGGGAGCCAGGGGAGTTTAAGAAAATAAAGCCCCGAAGTTTTTAACAGGCTTTGTCTCTGCCTTGATGTTTCTGTGTGCCGCTGACCCTGAAGCCCGGGAAAATTGAGCACAACCAGACCTGCAACCGTGGCTCCTGTCACACGTGCCCTCCTGGCAGCCCCGTTCAGTTCCAGCTCCAGACGTGACACGGGAGGTGTGAGTTCTTTAAAAGCAATCCTCTCCTGATGGAGGTGGAAAAACGAAATGCCAGCTTAATTCATCTGGCACTTGTGTACATACTGCTAATGCTTACTCTGGAAAGCATTTCAGTACAATAGCAGGCATGTAATCTGCACTCTGAACTCAGATTGTACTTTACCCATTGAGGCCTGATCCAGAGTCTGTGGAAGTCAGCAAGCACCTTTCTATTGCCTCTGAGGATCTGGGGTCCACTGCCTGACACTGATCTCAGAGCACAGGTGTAAAGGCAGTGTAAAACCCCCTGCCAGTCACAGGTTATCCAACTTTGTACCAGTGCAACAGAGAGCTGAATTTGGCACAAATCCATTTGCTTTGGATGTCTCAGTGCGTGACTCTGCTCCTTGTCAGCTCTGATTAGACACACAGGCTCACTGGAGACTCCCCTTGGAATGGGGGTGCTGCTAATGATACCACAAATCCCTTTTTATGTAATTTATTTATACAGTCTCAGTCACTGGGTACTAAATGTCATCAGGGAACAGCTATAAATCACTGCTATGAAATCCACTGTAGACATTAACAAAAAATAAAACTCCTACTCATTTTACTAAGGCTTTAAAAACAAGATCAAGAGAACTGAATATCACCCCAAAACACAGGCAGTTGTGGAAAGAAAAATAACCCAAATGGCAACTCTCAGGCTCCCTCCCCAGATGGTGGATTTAGAAGTGGTGTAATTGCCTGTTAACTGCAACATATTGCACGAGGGGAAATTACACCCTCACATCCCTGCGCTTCCCTCTTCCCACTGCTGGCTGTGAGGAACCTGGGCTGGGAGAAGGGGCTGATGATGTGACTCATTTTACTTCATGCACTAATCTTAGTTTCCCAGTTTCTCAGGAAAATCACTCAAGGATGAATGAACCCTCTTCTATAAGGATATAAGGTGACAAGCTAAAGGCACAAGTGAGGTTCAGGTTTCACACCTTTCCTTTGTCCCTGGTTGGGATAATTTGGAGTTGGGATATAGACAGTCTTTTGAAAAGTTTCCTGTAAGTTCGTACTAAGCTTAGGATGAAAATGATGCTAAGAATTGCCTGTTCCAAAGAGAGCTGGAGGATTGTAAGGGGTTTAGATTAATCCCCTTTAAATGAAAACTTCCTCAGT